TGTCGCTCAACGACTCTATATGGTCCCGTTTTGTCACGAAAACACACACGAGAAGATTAGATTATATATAAATAAAAGATTACATTAGGGATGTAACGATTACCGGTTTGACGATAAATCGTGATAAAATACCCCACGGTTAGTATTACCGTTTCATATTTTAATTATCACTATAACCGTATTCGATTACCGCGATTTGAACAACTGAGGATAAATAAATACTGTCCAGCACAGGGCTCCAGACTGCAACCAAATGGGCGCGTTTTGCGACCATTTTTTCTTCTGCCCGTGTGACTAAATTTTGTGTGCGGTCGCACTGGCGCTACCACCGCATTGTTCAACTCATAAGCGCTGCCATTTCTGTTGCATATGAGAAACATCAAACGGCAAACGAAACTGAAAGCATAATGAAACTGCGCGACTTGTTTGAACTGCGCAGCGCTTATAGAGTGTAGAGCATGGTTTATACTCACTGCGTCAGCACGAGCGCGAAGCTGTGTGCAGCAAAAATGAATATTGAGGAAACGATGGATGGTTTTCATGCTGAAGTAAAGTAAAGGACCGCTTCTTAAACCAGAGGTGAACATGTTGGTATTCTTGTGGGGGAAAAAACATGCTAGCACTGTCACCGACAGCCAGTTTAGTTTTACTTTTCTTTTTGTTTTCATTTTGAAAAGCTTGTTATCTTTGCTGTTTACCTCACGTTATTCTATGTAAGCTCTCTTTTTATTTATTTGATTCCTCAGTGTTTGCTAAACGTTCTGTAATTTATTAGTCGGTATATAATACAGCATGTGGTGTGTGCCATGCCTCATCTTATTCGTTTTTGTTAATAAACGTTTTGTAAGCATATAATTATAAACTATGATAAAAGTTTATCAGCATGCATTGATTAATCCCTAAAAATAAAAATATTGTGACCAAATCATGTGCTGGTGTGACCAACTGAGAAAGTTAGTCACAAAAGAGCGAGCAGTGGGAAGAATGAGTCTGTGTGCAGTTTCTGTCTGGCCAGAAACGGACTGAATCTGCATGCCCTGCTGTAAATTTTGACCGGTTGATGAAAAACAAGCTTATGTGGATTCTACACATTTAAACAATAAGGTAATTTGAACATGCTATTAGATAAACTGCTGTCAGTCATGCTGTCATTTAAAATCCGGACATCATTGGTAATGTTATTGTTTTAGTTATGCAAACAAAATCTCATTTTATTTGTTGTTTGTTGATTTTAAATGTAAAACTTGGTGAAATGATTTATGTGTCAGTACTTTTTGAACATTTCCAGCACATTTTAACAATACCGTGATAATACTGATAACCGTGATAATTTTGGTCACTATAACCGTGATAAGAAATGTTCATACCGTTACATCCCTAGTGTGTGTGTATGTGTGTGTGTGTGATTCTTAAGGATGCTGTTGTGTTTCTGGAAGATTCCAGTGTGTGTGTGTGTGTGTGTGAGAGCTGTCAGTGGAGCAGGAGGCGCGCGGAGGAAACGCCCCACAGCAGCTCGTTCAGTTTATTTTCTGTTTATTGTGCTTCAGTGGCAGCTCACCTCAGCCCTCCATACACTGAGAAATGATGATGTATAGCATACAAGCAATAAATTAAACTGTTAAACAAGTGGAAATAAAATAACACACAAATATCACACACACACACACACACACACTCGTGTCATCTTGTGTGTGTGTGTGTGTGTTTGCGTGTCTCACCTGCAGATGAGGGAGGGTTTATAGATGAATGTCACGGGATCAGCTGTGACTCGCCGCTATGATCCTGCGCTCTGGGTGCCGTATCTATGACGACAGCCGGCCTGTGTGTGTGTGTGTGTGTGTGTGTGCTGCAGAATCTGATCGTCTCGTGTTCACGGTCGAGTGTTTAGTGGCCTGTTGTAATCAGGCTGGTGTTTTTGGTGACAGATGGTCCTGCATTCACTGCCTATATAAGCTCTTACTGATATCATAACGTCTAACAATTTAATGTTTCTATATTTCATCATTAATGCACCAGTATGGATTTTTCAGTAGCAAGATAAGAGCGGCTGACCAATATAATGTTATTATACCTGCTGTGGACTAATAGTTTAAAGGGGTCATGAGCTGCCTCGGTTTTTTATTTTGTACTGTTCTCTGAGGTCGACGAATAATGTTATCAAGATTTTTACATCAAGAAACATCATAACGTAGAAGTAATAAGCTATTTTCTGTCCTGTTTTAACCCTCCTCATCAGAACGCTGTTTGAATAGGCGTGGAGGATTGTAGAGTCAGAAGTAAACACCCACTGCTGTGATTGGCTAACAGTTGTGTATGATTGACAGTCTACATCCTTCACAGACGGACGCTGCTGTGATTTAGGTTAAAAACGCATAAATACTCACATCAAACTGTTTAACAGACAAAGCCATAGTGATCACGTAATGAAAACAGTTACACTTGTGTTGCGACATTACAGTCAGATCCAGTATAGTCGACAGCATCGTCTATTAGTTTCAATCTTTCTGAAAATCCCACGTTGAATTGTGCTTTGTTTGTAAACTAATCCGCAGTAAAATGAAGTGAACAAAGGACTGAGTTCTTACTGACGCGGTCTGGAACTTCATTAAAAATAAAGTTCATCCACTCTTTTCTAATGTTGGGATCCGAAGGAAGGCAATGTTTTTCCACAACTTGGCACTGCACAGTGTCTTGTCGTCTTTGGCGCATCTTTATAGTTTAGTTTCTGCGTAGACCTGCGTTCGCCTCTCTCCTAAACACTACATGTGCGAATCAGTAGGCGGGGCTAAACAGGCAGCAATGTAGAATTGGTGGGCGGGGCTAAACAGGCAGCAATGTAGAATTGGTGGGCAGGGCTAAACAGGCAGGAAACTTACAGGATGTTTTTAATAGTACAATGACCTCTTATATGTCAAAAGATCAAGGGAATTTTGGTTTCTCAGTTCATGACCGCTTTAATTATGACATTGGTGATACATAACCAGATTTTATACAAGGTTAGAAATTCATGCAGAGTATTTAAACATGTTCACTGTGCAGTCGTGCTGTAACAGAAAGACCTGACATCAGCTTGAGTTGAGTTTCCATGATTGCTTCTGCTGTTTGTGAAGCTGCTTTGACACGATCGGCGTTTCTCTACAAATGAAGGTGACTTGATCAACTCTCCCAATCCACAGTTTCATTCAGTGCTGAAATATGTGGATAAAAATGTCAAATGTAAAAAAGTCAAGTCATGTTTATTTGTATTGCTGTTAAACAAACACTCCACTATTTTTGAAAATAGGCTCATTTTTCAACTCCCCTAGAGTTAAACAGTTGAGTTTTACCGTTTTTCTGCTCAAGTGCACCGAGAGCAAACGCTGCTTCAAACACAAAGGATGCTCACACCAAATGATGATTTCATTTAGTTAATAGAAGTTAATTGATAAAGAAAATCTATTTATGACATTATCTGGCGGTAGCACTTTTAGCTTAGCTTAGCATAGATCATTGAATCTGATTAGACCGTTAGCATCTCGCTCAAAAATGACCAAAGAGTTTCGATATTTTTCCTATTTAAAACTTGACTGTTCTGTAGCTACATCGTGTACCAAGACCGACGGAAAATGAAAAGGTGTGATTTTCTAGACCGATATGGCTAGGAACTATACTCTCATTCTCAATGATATTACACAGCGCCTGAAAATAGTCCCCAGCACGCTCCCTGTGCAAGCAGGTGGTCACATTGGTTATGTTGGCGGAAGTTAGTATTGTATTGCACTTTTCCACCTCATTTGACAGAAGTGTTGATGTTTAAATGTCATCCGTGTGTGTTGAACAGGTGTGTTTCTGAGTGTGAGTTGAACACGAGGCCAGTGCGAGCGAGCAGCAGCTCTGTGGAGGCTGTAAATGATGATTAATTGATGATCGTGACGTCAGTGAGGTGCTTGTGTTTGTGTTGCAGTGGCGCCGAGGTTCACTAAGATTCCCACGGATCAGATCGGCGTGTCCGGCGGAGTCGTGTCGTTCGTGTGTCAGGCCGCAGGCGACCCCAAGCCTCAGGTGTTCTGGAACAAAAAGGGCAAGAAAGTGAATTCACAGAGGATCGAGGTGAGAAACACAGCAGCAGAGCATCAGATCACTCTGTGATGAGATTCTGACTGAATCAGGCAGGCGTGACAAGCAGACTGAATGAATGAATGAATGAATAAATAAATAAATATATATATATATATATACAGTGGTGGCCAATATTATTAGAACACTAGTAGAACAAACTGAGACAGACTCAATCCAGAAGAACTGTGTCTCCAAGACGCTTCTTTCCTCCTGACACACTACAGCAAAAGATAGAAATAACTGACTTAAAACCATTTTTTAGCTGCTGATAATATTAGTGATCCACTGTGTATACACACACACACACACACACACACATGGTTTTATCAGGTGTGTACAGTAGATGATTAGTTACCGTGTGTGTGTGTTTAAAACACATGTGTTCAAATGTCCCAGTTGGACAGTAACAGCTGAAATCAGCTACTGTGTTTTCCAGAATATCAGTCACATCTGAATATTACTCAAAATTGCATTGTTGAGAGAAAAAACACAGATAAGTCACATCGGTGTATAAATTGCATTTTATTATTATACTGTAAAATACCAGTAAATGAAACATTTACAGTACAAACATGATAAACACTGTGATATCCTCTCACTCCACAGCAAACCTTTTAAATGTAACTGTACTCAGAACAGAATGAAAGATTTAAATATAAAAGAAGCATAAATTATAGTGGCATTCATTGTAAACAACATTTATTATAAACGCCAAGCCTAAACGAGTTCATTTAAAGTGCTTTATAAATAAACTTGCCACTCGTTCCTCTCACATTCAGCACAAGTACAAATGTGTGTGATTTGACCATGCTTTACGTGCTTGACATTAATTGCATTTCATAAAACTCACTTTGGAATAGAAGTCAAATCATGTTTCATATGATAAAAAATACAATAAATACAATACAATAAATTCTGTGGAGCGGCCAATGGTCCCCATGCAGAAAACTGATTATTAAACAATCTAAATAATATTTTAAATGTGTGA